ACCCGATTCCCCTTTCAGGTGCTGTTATGCCCCATGAGATGCCAGCCTGCCCATCAATGTCCCAGAGGGATGGGCAACCCAATCTCTGAAGTCATGGCTCAGGCAGCACCGAGCAAAGGAGCAAGCTGGTAGCGGGCGGACAGCCTGCCCAGCAGAAACTGCTGGCTGGAGGGATATCTGTCATGCTGCTGTGTTGGACCCCTGCAGAGTGACCCTCCCTAGCTCATCTCTATTAGCCAGGGTTGCACTGTCTGTTGGTGGTTGTGCTCTTCTCTAATGGGCCTTGTGCTGTTAGAAGCCCTAATGGGCTTCTCTAACAGGGCATAGCTGTTAAATGTGTCCTCTCTGTGACACTGTCTTGTCTTCTGCTTAGCTAAAATTTAGCACCAGCATCCTGTAAGTGTCTTAAAATGAGCACTTAGCACCGCTTTTTATCTGCTAACTTGGTAGGTGATGTTTCCCATGACACAGGCAGCAGTATACAGGGAGAGGAGGCTCCTTGTTACTTGGTTGCTGCTCTTTGGCTCTGTAGGAGCTGTTGTTAAGAAATAGCCTCCCCTTTGACCTGAAAGTGATTTTCTTTGTGTGCTTTTTTTCTGGGGCATGAAAGAGCTGTGAGGTTTAGCAACATTTCAGCTTTCCTTTAGTCAGTGGTTGTGAAGTGTTTGCTTGCCTTCCTTTATTGGCCAAAGAGTTCTTGCACAGGAGCCTCTTGTGCAAAACTCTCTCTTTCCTGATGGCTTGACCTGAAGGGCTGCCTTGCAGGTGGCTCCATGTGCTGACTTGCCCTGTCTGTGCGCTTCTCTGGTGTGGATAAGCTGCCATGTAACTCATACCTGTGCTCCTCTCATGCTTGGCTCCTCTTCTGCAGGTGTGGATGGCAGTGCCTCTAGTTTTCCCCCTTGTTTTTCCACACTTGTCACTTTCTCTCTTGTGTCTGGCTAGGAAACCAAGTGTCTGAGATACTTGGTCCTTGAGCAGGGAAAATGGTCTTGGTTGCTGTTTCAGCTGTCAGTCAAGCTGCACGTTGTTGGTTTGCCCCTGAAACTGGTTGGGCTGCTACTGTGTGCTGGTGCCAGGCTCACCTGCCTTGGAAAGGAGAAGGAAAAGGGATGCTCAGTGTGGGAACGTGGGACTGAGTGAGGCATTTCTAACCAAAATCTGGGTGAGGGAGCAGGGAAGAGAAAAGTTTGAACTATGGTCAGCCAAGGTGACCTACATCCATCTGAGGTCCATGGAGAAAAGTAATATCTTTGTCTTCTCTCTCCCACTTTAGATCACGGACAGAACCGAGTCACTGAACCGCTCAATAAAGAAAAGGTATCTCTAGGGTTGTTGTGGGCCCTGGGGTAAAGCAGGTCCCTTCCTCCAAATGGAAGATGCCAGAGGGCCCTGCTGTGGGTATGGGCAGGAGTGACAGGCTGCCTGTAGCCCTCAAAGTCCTTCCTTCTGCCTGAGGTACTGGGGGATCACCTTAATCCTCTTCTTGCTTCTCCAGTAACAGCATAAAGAAGACCCAGCCTCCCCTCCCTGTGTCGAAGATTGATGACAGGCTGGAGCAGTACACACAGGCTATTGAGGTGGGCTGCTGTGTTGTTTCTCTGTCCCCACCCTCCAAGGAGCCCTCTTTGCCAGGCGTTGCTCTCCCACCATGCCTCTTAGTCGTACCATCTGGGACGTGACAACTGAATCATCTCCCCTTGGATGGGAGCAGCCCTTTCTCCTGTCTCTATCTCCCTTCACAGCATAAAGTAGGTTTCTTTAGCAAGCTGCCCCATCCTTGTTTCCTCAAGGGTGTGAGCATCTGGCAGGAACTAGCAAGACCCTACAAGTTCCCTTTTACAACCTCTCATACCTGAGGACCTCCAATTACAGGGGGAAAAAAAAAAAGCACGCTCTCCCTGACAGTGGTCTTTCCCCATTTGTTTTCCAGACATCCACAAAGGCTCCAAAACCTGTCCGACAGCCCTCTCTCGACCTTCCCACCACGAGCATGATGGTAGCCAGCACAAAAAGCCTCTGGGAGACTGGAGAGGTCGCAGCTCAGTCTGCTGTGAAGTCCCTGCCCTGTAAGGTATGGCACTCGCAGGACTTGCCTTGCTTGTGCAGAGGAAGAGGGGCTGGCCTCTGGGCACAACTTGCATTACACTTGCATTAGCCTGTTAGTATGGCTCATTGGTGGTGCCCACCAGCTCTAAAGGCATCTATATTAGAGATCCAATCTCCTTCGTCAGCATACAAGGCCTTGTACCTCAGAGTTTCGTTTCATCTCTGCTAGGGTCCTGAATTGTTCCTTGGTGGTACAGCTAGGAAGGCCTCTGTGATGCCGGTTGAGGCTCTGCTTTGAAATGGGAATAAATTCAGCTGGTGTGGAAAATGTGTATGTCTTCTGCAGGTGCTAGGACTGAGCTCCAGTTGTTGAGTACAGTGTTGGATCTGGTACCAAGATGATAAATCTTGTAAAATTGGAAAATACAGAGAGTATTATGTATTGCTCTCAATTTCACTTTCTGGTCATTGTGAGCGAGGCTGATTCTGCAACACATGGGTTGCAAATCTGTGTTTATGTGAGCAAAATTCCTTCCACATAAAAAAAGCCTTGATGTTAACATGTCTTAAATAGTTAACAAACTTCAGAAAATAAACATCTTGGATCTCTGATCCAGGCTCTTGTTGAAGAGAGTAAGAGAGAGGAAAACATAGGATATCCTGGGAATAGGAAGAAGTTTTCACAGTCATGGGTTTTAGCTGCAGCTGTCACAGGTCAGATGATGTGATATTATAAATAAAAAAGGTCAGATGTGTGGGTTTGAAAGGGACATGAACAAAGGCATGTTCAGCAGCGTTAGCAGTGAAGGGTAATGAGAACATCATTTTCTCAGGATATCGTGGCTGGAGACATCGTGAGTAAAAGAAGCCTTTGGGAACAGAAGGGCAATCCCAAATCCGAGACCAACATCAAGGTGAGTTAGTATCTGTGCGAGTACGAGAGCATGTGCTCTGCTGTGAAAAAGAAAAGAGCTCTTAGCTGGGTTGGAAGTATTGAGAAGATGGTGATGTTCTTTCTGTAGGGACAAGGGCTGCCTGTATCTATCAATGCAATTGCATACCTATGAGCTCTTCCTAACAGTGAGCTGCTATTGCTTCAGCCCTGGTAAAAATGGGGGCAAAAATCATTTTATAACCAGTAATACTGAAGGGTCTCTTGAATAGCATGTTGTTCTCAGGCCATGGGTTGGGAGCCCCAGCCTTCTAGGCTAAAACTGAACTGCAAATGTGAGTTACTTTGCTCGTTATGCTTTTTAATCTTGAGAGTAAAGAAAACATGCAAAATTAAGTGGAACTGAACCTAAGACAGTATCAACGCTTGGGGTTTTGTGCCTACTGGTACATTTGTGGGAATGCCTATTGAAATACAGCAGCATTTTCATTCATGCTGCTGCTGCTTGAACTGTCCAGGCTGGGAGAGGAAGATCAAAGTATCTTGTCTGTTCCTGGAGCGGTACTGCTGCCAGTATGTGGTAAATGAAACTGGCTCTTGCCAGTTGGTGAAACCAACCCTGGCTTGGGGGGCTGGGGCTCTTAGGTGAGCCCTCCCTCGCGATGCCTGGCATTGCATCTTCCCTTTCCTATTACACATCCCTCGCTTGCTGTGTTACCTTACACTTATTGAAAGTGGTGGTCAGTCTGCGCAAAGAGTTTATGTGGAAGGGGCAAGAAGGGAGTAGAGAGTAGGCTGTCTCCAAGCCCTCTGGGATTACAGACAACTGTATCACATGCTCCTCTGGCTTCAGTTATTTGATCTTGACTGCCTATTTGAGGGGGAAAAATGCTGACTTTGGCTCTTTCTTTCTCTCCTGTTCAGTCCACTCCTTCTGGCAAAAAGTATAAATTTGTTGCAACAGGCCATGGCCAGTACAAGAAGGTGTTGATAGATGATGCTGCAGAGCAATAGCATGCCTGGAGAACTCATTAACCAGGTAGGTGGGGTATGACCTTGCACCATGTAACAAACTCCTGGCGCTGTTCTGGCAGGATGTTGGGGTTATTTCTGCCAGCTACACTTTGGGTGAGTTGGAAGGCACTGTAGGATAACAGCTGGAGCCTTGCTTCTGGGCAAACACCTGACTTTCTGAGCTGGAAGAGAGTGGGTACACAGTGGGGATTTATTTTGGTCTTTGACTTTCTGATGCTGCTAGGAAGCTGGATACCTGTGTTAGTTTAATCTGCAGAATAAGTCCCTTAGCTACTGCTGTTTGGGTGAAGATGCGTTTGCCTTTGCTAGTTCAAAGGAACAGCCTATCTGCTGTTTTTTCTTATGCTCTCATGTTGCAAGGAGAAGTAGATAGCTGGAGGTCATTCTAGCTGAGCATGGGGGCTAATGTACTCCTGAAATTCAGATGTTTCTAGGGTCTAATTCCCCGATTTACTGAATTAATCAGGGGAAAAACTTTTAATGGTTTCAGTAACCTCTTGGAACCAGTCCATAATAGGGTTCTAGTAGGGAGCACATGAACATCTGCTGTGCTGGGTAGATCAACAGAGCAGAAAGGACCATCCTCTGATGTGTAGCAAGGGGGAAGGCAGAGATGGGTTGCTGTCTCTGTGCCCTCTTGAAATGGTCTTTGGATCTCATGCTCATATTGTGTTTATGTTAATAGATATCCTGGTGTTATCCTGAGTGGATGATAGTAGAGGGTTGCAGCAATAAGGAGGAATGGCGTAGAGGGAGGTGATAACTGGTTGGATCCAACTGGGCAGCATCTGGCACTGAGAGAGGAGAGGAAGTTGTTGGGGGTGAAAACAAGCTCATTCTCTTTTTTCCTACTATAAAAAAGAAGCTTTATTTCATAGCCAAGCTTATAAATAGCTCTGTCTGCTACAAAACACCTTTTGTTTCTGAATTCTTCTGGGGACTGTGTTCCTTCTTTTTTTTTTTCTATTTTTTTTTTTCCCCCCTCAAGGAGCTGGCTTCTGAGTGCAGCATATTGTCTTGGTGGTTTTTTTTCCTTTTGTGGTGCCCATTTAGAAGAGAAGCTCTCTTGAATGCCACTTTGAGATGGGCAGTAGTACAAACCCAAGACTGCCCAAAGCTATGTTTTTTTTAGATGTAAAGAAGGAGGCCCACTGGACTTGTATCCTCGACTTGCTTCTCTGCCTGTGGCTTTCAGAAACCTATTTTAAGGTCTCCTCTTTGATCAGTCCTCTTCTTTTTCCTGAAGTCTGTTTTGATGCACCAGGTGGGATCCTACTGAGCTTCAATTCTTTATAGCAAACAGGTTTTGCTAGGTTGTCAGCAAGTTTTGTTTGCCCTACCTGAGCTTCTGCAAGCAGCTCAAAGGAAAGTACCCTCAGCTCTGATCTTTTTCCAGCATCCTTTCTTAAAAGGCCAGTGACTGTCATGGGATGTCCTCTAGGATCCACCCAGTACTCCAAACAACCACTGCACAGCACTGTTGCCCTATGGGCTCATTCACAAGGAAGGTTTTTTTGTGAATAGCAAAATGACTGGGATAGCTTGGAGGATCTTGGCTTGTTTCTGTTCTTGAGTTTTCAGCTGGCTGTTTTGTGTGCTGAGAGGTCCCCGCTCCCCAGCTCCTCTCCACCGCCCTGAACTATGTTTGTCCTTTTTCCCTACTGCCAGATCCCTTCACAGTTGCCTTTTTGCTCCAAACTCTTCTGGCTCACCCCCATGTCACTCGCTCAACACCATCTTATCAGCTTTCTAGCTGCTTGAGCACAGGTACAGTTCTTCCTCCTCCCCTCCTTTCCTGAGCTGCAGGACCTCTGAGCAGGCTGCAGAGCAAGAGGTTTTCTGTAAGTGGCAATTTGGGCTCTTACGAACTGCCATGAAGCTCTTTGACATTGAAAAACAACCAAACTCTGTGTCCAGCAGTGTTCCTCTTCCCTCACTCAACACGGTGGCTCAAGCTGGGACATGCTGCAATGGCTCCCAATGCAGAACCACTGGTGTAACTCTCCTCTTGCCTCCAGGCATCTGTTCTCTCCTCTGCAATGCTCTCCTGCCAGGGTCTGTCTCTGCAGGACTCCCCATGCCTGCTGTATGCCTCTGCCCTTTACTCGTGGGGCAGAAGGGCTAAACCATGCAGCCAGACCTGGTTTCCTCTGCTTCCCACTGCAGGCATTGCTCTCCCCACTGGTGATTCTCCATCCTCCATCCCTGTGCAGTGGGGCTGGGTTGTGAATGCAGCCTGGAGGGAAGCCCAGCAGATGCAAGACATAAGCCATTCCTCATTGCCGTGTGTGAGAGTTGCTGGTTTGTTCTTGGTGGTTGTCCTCGCTGCAGGACAAAGTGGATTAAAGCACAATTGCTTCTGAAACCATCTTCTCTGGCCAGATTCACTTAGTCTCCCAAGTGTAATCAATATTGGCTGTTCTGCTTCATGCTAATGCTGTGGATCTTGTGAATGCAGACTAATGCAGACTCTTGTGCAGAGCCATCCAATTATCTATGCTACAGTAAGGTGCCATTTTATTGCTGTGTGGTTAGGTCATCTTTATCTGCATTAGGCATTCTACATGTTTTAAGCTGCACTCTTTTTGATTTTGTGTTGCTGCATGGATCTTTCTCTATAGCCTTCTCTTGCAGCATGTTGAATTATCCTGCAAAGGCTTACCTGGGATCCACTTGTGATTACTGGTGCATTTCCAACCTACCTCTTTTCAGCTTTTTCCTGGAATACTGGGGGGGTCAGAGAAATCCAAATTTTAGATACTTGGGTTATTCTTCCTTCTCATTTTTTTTTTCTTAGAATAGGGAAGGGGTTACAAAACAGAGGATAAGACCAGTAAAGTGAAAACTTCAGCGATGGTTTGATTATAACTGAGCTCTTCTGATAGCATCGTTGCAAAATTGGAATACTTCAAAAAGGCAAAAGGGGCTCTTGATTTTATTTCTAAGTCTGTTCACAGTTTGGCTTGGGGAAATTTTGGTCAGCTCCATATCCTCTGCACATGAAGAGAATGTAAAAAGCTGTGTATCGAGTTTCTTATTTGGACTAAACATAGCAATCCTATATTAGCTGTGTAGGAATATGCCAGCATATGACAAAGCATATGACAAAGTCCCTTGAGAAACAGAAATAGCTGATCTCCAGCTTTCATGCTTGTAAGATTGGTGGTGATGGAGATGCACAGGGTGACTGTAATGCTGGAAAGCACAGTTGTCCCTGTGGATGGACAGAGTTGTGGATTTTGTTTTAAATACCCTTTTTTCAGGACATCAGTCACCAATAGGTATGCAACTATTATGATGTTGCCTCTGAAAACAAGACTACATGTGGTTAGCAGAAACCCCCAGAAGACAGCACCTTGTTAAATACAGAGTTGGATACCCACATGCTGAAGCAGGCTCTTGCTGGTTATCATGAAAATACTAACCCCCAGCTGTATTAAAGCACTGTAATCAAGTTCTGTTGTATTTTACTGCAACAAAGTTAGTCTTCTGTGCACTATGATTTAGTAGACTGACCCAGGAGGACATCAAATGATGATGTCCAGTGTTTTAGGCAGGGGAACTGCTATGTGAGAGCAGGATGGATATCTTATGCTGTCCCTTGTCTGTGCCTTGGGTGAAAGGATGAGTTTCTACCTTATTCTCAGCAAATGGGTGTGAGGTGTCCTCCACAGCACTTTCAGTGGAGAAGCTAAAGAGATGTATACACTCCTTTGAGTTCAGTTTCTAAGAATCCCTAGAGGAGATGTGGAGCAACCCAGATTCCTTCATGTTGTCTCATCTACAACTGCTTTTATTTCTAGGATTTCTCTTGGTCTTAAATAAACACAATAAAATAAATTCAGATTCCATCATCCTCCTCTAAATTGGGCTTTTTCTACAGGCAATTTGTCCTTCTTCACTGTGTGCCTCCCCTCTCTTCCCTGTATTACTGCATACAGTGGTTATTGGCTTTTTTAAAACAGGAGCATGTTTGCTTTCCTGGCTCATGACCTGTGGATGTGGTATGTTATGCATTTAAGCTTATCTACATATGGAGAGTAACCCTTAAACCCACAGCATGAGGCTGCTGGCTTGCAGGGGTTTTATTTAATTTTATTTTTTTCCTTACACTTGGCTCTGTCGGGGCAGTAAACCTAGACATAGGTGCTCTCTTGCTTGGTGCCCTGTAGGAACCTCCAGAGATGCAGGCCTGGTGGAGCAGCCTGGCTTCAGTTGACTGACCATCCTGATGCCGTTCTGTTAAAGCTCTTGGTGTGCTCCTCAGCCACTTTGGGTCTAAACTGGCCCACCTCGAACACGGTGCTGATCTTTGTCATGGGTTTGGCAGCCAGCTCCTTCAGTTTCCGGGCGTCGAAGCGTGGCTTATGTAGAAGAATGGGTAAGCGGCGGGGAAGAAAGAAGCTTTCTTCCTTCTGCAGCTTCTTCTCTTCTGCTTGCTGCTTCTTCTCTTTGTTAACTGTCATCTGGTATAAAATAGCATCCCACATTCTTGTGGCCCTTGATTTAAACAGCCTGCAGTCCTGACTGATGATTACTTGAGAGCTGTCCTTCTCCTTGCTCCCTCCTTCCTGTCCCAGCTTTTCTGGCTCAGGCTCTGGGAAGTTGGGTGCTTCTGGCTGCACCATCAAGTGCTTTCTGAGGCGATGCCAGCCACCAGCATTGGCTCCAGGAGGTCTTGCTTCTTCTACTGATGGTAGTGCTGGCTCAGCTTTGAGGGGAGGGCTGGTGTTTGGTAAGCTGGGGGTCAAATGAGGTTGAATGACATGTTCTGCCTTGGTGTCTGTGGAGGTGGCCCCTGTACTGTCAGCTTGTGCTGGGGTTGCTGTCTCTGGGTGTGCTTGCCTCCAAGGAGTGCTGGGTGTTGATGGTTTTAGGATGTCTCCATCTTGCTTGGGTAATTCAGGAGCTTTCTCTGATCCAGGTATTTCTGTGTCACTTCCATGGGTCGTTGGCTTATTGGTGTGGGCATTGGAGGTGCTGGGCTTGGGTGAAGGGGCCTTGATGGACTCTTCAGTAGGAGCAGGCTTGGACTCCTTAGGAGGCTCTGCCTCCGTAGCAGAAAGGAGGGGAGGTTCCAGTGTGGGAGCCGTGGCCTTGCTGTCATTGAGCGGGGTGGGTATCTGCCCTGAAGATGGTTCAGAGCAGCTTGTTTCAGCTGCTGGAGAAGAAGGCCTTTTGTCTTCGTGGCTGATGGTTGCTTGGGTCTGATTTGATGTGGGTGGCTTGACACTGTGGAAATAGGTGTGCACCTTGGTGACATAGGTAACCTCTGGTGCCCTTTCTTTACTGGGCATACTGGAAGGAGGAGGCTGGGAGAAAACAAATACGGATGGGTCACCTGGACAGAGAAGGTGGGTGTCCGTGCCTTCAGGCTGCTGTGGAGTCTCAGGAGCACCTGGCTTGTGTAGCATGAGCATGGCCGGGGAGGTCGTGAGCCTGAGGTGTTCAGCAATGCGCCTCTGCTCAGTGACCTTCAGCGTGAAAGGCTTGCTCTTTCGGAAAGGGGAGGGGACACAATGGGTGATGGGCTTGACAGAGAGGCAGGTCAGAAGGCTGGCAGAGGGGGGTGCTGTGGTTTCGGGGGTCTCTGCTGTGGGAGTGCTTTCATTGTGCTCTAGGTCGGGGCTGGCCTCGTTCACGGGTGAGAGGCTGGACCGAAAGGACTTGGCTTGCTCTGAAACTAGGATGGCGTTTTTCTTGGCTGCCTTCTTCAGCAGCCGCTGGAGCCGCAGGTTGTCCTTCCCAGGCTTTGGTAGGGTGGGAGGGGGAGAAAGATGGTGGCGGATGGGAGCAGGCTGGATGGAGGATGATACTGTTATCAGCATTGTCATCTCCTGGAAGAAAACACAAAGCTTAGAGTTGGCATGGGCTTAGCCCTGGGCTAGACTCTGAAGTATTCATACGTAAGGCCTCTTCTTCCTCTCTCCAAAAGCTATGAGTATGGAGTCAGTATCATGTGAGAAGAGCATCAGTCTTGGTTTCCTTAGTCTCCCAACGTAGCCTCAGCCAGTCTCGAGGGTGGTGTGGCAGGGCAAGAGATGTACTGGGAGGAAGCTGTATTGCCAAACCTGGACCCCTCCTGCTCCTGGTGTTAGCGCAAAATCCAGTGAGAGCTCTTTGGGACCCCAGATGTTCATGTCTTGGCAAGTCCTAACAGGATTTGGAAGGCAATGTCAAGAGAAACAGAGCAGGTCTGAAATTTTGAAGCTTTGAAACATTCTCCAGAGGCACAAATCAGGAATATTTCATGGCTTTCCAAATTCCAGTTATTAATACTCTGATACAATGTTATGTACAACAGAACAGCCATAAACTACATGTGTCATTTGAGTCAAAGTCAACACTGGCCTTGATTGATTTCAGCTGGCAGAAAGACATCCCTGTGTCCTGGTTTAGGCAGGGATAGAGTTAATTTCCTTCTTCACTGCATCAAGCACAGCGGCAATCTTGTCTTTCTGCACTCAATTTAAGATAAAACCTAGTTTTCTCTTTCCCTTGGGGAGCATTGCCACTGTCCTCCCTGTATCGCCCATTCTTCAGTGAAACAGAAATGGGTTGTGGTTGGAGTTGGGTCTTATCCCCAGTGGCAATTGCAGCTGGACCCCCTTTGGCCAACACTATGCTGCTCCTGGGTGGATGCGCAACTGCTTTTCCCACTCTCTGTTGCTAACTCACCACCATCTCCTCTTCTTTCTGATGAGCACCAGTCAGATTTCCTGTAGTCAAGCTAAGAGTCTGTGTTGGGGATAGAAAGATAAAACTAGTCTCAGTTCTCCTATTTCTCTTCCTGAGCAAGGCTGGGAAACACCAAGCACCCAGCCTCTGACCTGCCATGACTCTTTGGAAGCCCCTAAAAAGAAATCTGACTCTGCCCTGGCTCTCACTTGGCACAGAGTGGCTGAGTTTTGCTATGAAATGAGGCATAAATCACTGAGCCCCTTAATCCCTGGTGCTGGATGCAACGGAGCATCCTGAAATGAGGAAGAGGAGGTGGGGTGATGTCAGGGTTGCTCAGAGGGGCTATTGCATGTGCTCTGCTCAGTTTCTGGTGGCTCCCAACCCATTCTGGTTACTGTGGGTGTGTAGTGTGATACCTACTGTGTGGGAAAATTATCCCGAATAAAACTCTCAAAAGTGCAGAACAGCTATTTGAGCTTGAGTGCCTGGTGTTGTCTTTGGGCTTGCATTGCTGCTGTCAGCACTGGGCTGGGAAGCTGACCTGTACCGAGCAAGCAGGTGGTGTATCTGACAAAACTGGTTGTGGATGGGGGCAAGAAGGATGACTCTTAAAAAAAAAAAAAAAAAAAAAAAAAAAAAAAAGGAAGAAGAAAAGGATTCACTTTCTTCGCTCGTTAACTTACTTGCTCGGCAGCCGCAGGGCCGGGCGGCGGGAAAGAGGTGGCATGTGGGGCACAAAGCCTTCAAGGTCCAGCCCTCACCATGGTGGTTGAGCTGTCCTCCAGAGCAGAGGCTGTGGTGGGGGCAGGATCTGGGCAGTGTCTAGCAAGTAGTACGCTGCTATCAACTGATGCATTTATTTCGGCTGCAGGCATGAGAAACCTCCCACTGTTTTCGCGAGGGGCTCGGAGGGGATTTGTGCCAGCTGGGGGTGACAACTGTTGGGCATTCCCAGTGGCTTATCAGCTTCATGCCTTAGGCACAAAGCTGGGATTAAGACTTGCTCTATTCCAAGAGCTACTCTTAGAAACAAGTCTGCACCAGCCCAAAAAAAGGCTGAGAGCCCATTCCTGCATCATATACCTGCTCTCTTCCCCAGCCCTGTGAATATTCTAGATTATTCTGGGTCAGGAAGCCAAAATGCCTCAGTTGGAGAAATGCATACTTGCTCTTGCAACACTACTCTGGTTCTGTTTGTATAGGAATTGGTAATTGCTAGGGTGATTTTTATCTGCTGCAAGGTGAACTAGTACATGCACTTGATGTTAGGATTGATTGTGGCATGATTTCATCTGCCCCTGTTTAATGTGGTCCCGTGGACAGCCTGTACTACAAGATGAGCTGTGGTCTAGCAGCACTGGTAAGCCAGAATTATAAGGTTGACCTGCCTCAGGTTTGTTGTGTTGGGAATACTAAAGAGGCAGGGCAGTGAACTTCCCAACTACTGATCAGCTCTTTGAGTGTTTTCCTTGTCCTACGGACTGCTGCACCCCAGAAAAATGCAGCTTCCCACATGGGTCAGAGCAGGATCTTGCCTGGGATTTGCTGCAAACTGCCAGATGCTACTGGGGAGGGCATGGGGGTTCTTGGGGTGGGAAGTTGAGATATAATCTGCATGCACCAGGGAAACTTTCCCTCTGTTCCCAAAGTTAGAGGCTGCTTTGTGCCCTATAACCTCAAGATTTGTGGTCTCTTACAGTAGTCTGTGCTCTTAAAATCACTCTTGCTACTATCTCAGCATCCCTCTGACTTGAAACCTGCTGTGCTGTGGGTCTTGGAGACCTTGTGGGTGGTAACTTCCACGGCATGTGACTCTGCCAGAGTTTGTGTCTTTGACTAGTGAGGCAGAGAGGTACTAAGAAGACAGCAAAAGGAAATCAGATCTTTATTTGCCTTCCCCGTCATGCTTGGCTTTGTTTGATGAGTCTCCTTCAGAGCTTTGTGTGCTCAGGAGTAATTCTGCAACAAGCAAGATTTGTGACCATCTTCCCCCTTGCCATGTAATGAAGCAAAAGCAAAGGGGCAGATGGACTTGCTTTATTGCCAGCGGAAAGGCCAGAGCTGAAAACCCAGGGACAATAGGGGAAAATACCGCCTGAGAAACTTGGGTGGGTTTGTGATAAGCTGGGAGGAAATTGAGCTAGAAGCTGAGCCAAGAGGCTTTCAAAGGGTTAAGTTTCCCTGCTGCTGGTTGAGTGCCTGTGGGTGGAGGGAGGTCACCCACCCTTGGACCCCAACTTGTTCTCCTGGACTCTGCTCCATCTGCAGTCAACCCCAAACTGGGAATGGTGGGGACAATGTCAGCATGGAGGAGTCATTTATCATGCAATGGAAAAGTCATTTGCACACTGGAGTCCCTTGGCTGCACCAGCTGTCATGCACGGAGCAGATCGAGAGCTGCAGGAACCTGATACTACTGCAGATGGTCCCAAGTGGAGAGCTGCGGCTGCCAGGGCTGTAGGAACACACTGTCCGCTTCAGTGGCTTTCTTGGGCTTGAAGGAAACTTCCTAATCTGCTCCTTGGGAAGAGATGGCTGGGCAGGAGCACATCCTTCCCTCTGCCTGGGCAGTCGTGACCTCTGCCAGACGTGCAGCCCTCGGCATCTGCTCTGCCATGGGCACGTAGCACCGTTGGCTGTCCCACAGCACTGAAGCTTTATGGGCTGATTCACAGTGCTTTGTAGAAATGGGTGGGAGAAAACCACCTATAATTGCTAGACAAGATGTTACCCCTGTACAGCCCAGGGTATCGCTTGTGGCAGGCCAAATGGTATGCATAAACTTGTTGTTTTCTTGTCTTGCAGCTGAGCTTGGTCCTGGCTCGATGCAACCCTCAATGCCACTATTTCCTCTGCTCCACAGAAGATAATTGAAGGATGTTTCTCTTCTCCTGCCTGATGTCAGTCTGCTTCAGTACAGCCTGACTCTTCTCGGGGTGTGAGCAATACCCCATGCTGCCTCCAGCTGGATGAAAGGAATTAGATCAGCTGGCAAAACCCGTCCCTGTTTTAACCTTCTGCGTGACTCTTTGGCTTCTTTTTTTTACTTTTTATCTGGCTCTGCTATGGAGATGGGAGGCTGTGGCTCTGCTCCCTCTCTTCTTTCTCAAGTGTTGGAAGAGAGGGATCTGCTGCCCTGCTGAGCTGGCAGGGCTTTTGCTACATGATGAAGAATTTCTGCTTTTGTGGCTCTTGATGGCTGGGTGGTGGGAGAGAGGGAGCTCAATAGAAACCTTGTAAAAGAATCAGTGTTTGAAAGGAGGGCAATGGGCAGATCCTGAGCGTGAGGAGACTGCAAGGACCACTTCTCACCCTGTTGGTGCCAGCTGTGGGTAAAGTCTTCCCCTGTTTACAGTGCAGCGTCTGTCCCTCTACAACATCTGCTTTGAGGGACTTCCATCTACTCTGTACACCAAATCACATTCAACTTAGTCCTGTTTTTTTCTTTAGTCCCAGATCATCCTTTAATCACAGTTACGTACCCATGCCAAAATGTTCCTGCCACTTTTCTGTCTTGACGGGGACAATAGCAGCTTTGTTTCAAATTGCTGCTTTCCTCTCCCTGTCTAACATGGGTTGGAGGTCTCCTTTCCCAGGTGAGGAGTGCTGATCACTGGCATTATCTCCCTTCTTTGGGAAAGGGATTTGCTTGTTCTCTAACCTGTGGGCTCCAGTGCCAGTGATTGGAACACTTCTGAATGTCAGAGGTGGTGGGTGTGTTGATAACCTGCCTGCTATGCGCCTGGAGGTGGGCAGGATATCTGGGAAACAGCTGCTTCTCTTATGCTGGAAGCTGCCTTGGTGAAAAGGCATCCTAATGAGTTGTTTGGGGAGGTCAGGGCTTGCTGTGAACATGGGGAAACCGAGTCCCTAAAGAGGGGCGCTCTGGCCTTGGACCCGAGATATGTAAATCAGCTCCCAGGGCTGTTTCTGAGCTCTCCCATGTCTTTATACTTCATGGTGTTAGCATGTCCCCCATCCCTTCTTTAAAGTCTTATTCCTGCCCTCTTCCCATGTCAACATAATTTTTCAACTTGTTTCTGTTCTCCGGGAGGGAGGGCAGCTTCTCTCTCTTCCTGCATCAGTTTGCTTTCTGCTTAAATTTACTGTGTCCCCTGGATTTTTTTGTAAGCATTTAATAAAATTTGAGGAAGATGTTGTAACAATGGCAACTCTGAGGATTTTGTTGGTGTAGGAGTTCCTGCAGCAAAGCTGTTTTCCAAGACCTTGCAGCTCTCCGCTTGAGCGGAAAGTGGAGGAGAAGAAACATCAGGCTGAGTGACAAGAAGAGCTTGATGTATGCAGGAAAGGGGCTGTCTATGTGCCCCATTTAGGAGATCCTTGTCATCTTGCTGCATTCTTCATTGTTATTGGGGGTAATTAACTGTAAAATGAGAATGAGCAGTGTTTCGGTGAGAGATGGAGCAGCATGCAGAAGACTTCCTATGGAGTGATCAGCTAGGAGAAGCAGAGAGCTTAGCTCCCCAACTAATAGACCTGAGCAGTGTCACAGGCTTCAACCAAAATCACTGGTGATGTCAGCTATAAAAAAAAATAATCCTCTATAGCCTGCTTATACAGCTGAGATGAGGTCAATGTAGCTGTCTGTACAGGAACCCAGCACTCTAATGAGCTGACTACCCTATCTGGAACCATCTAATGGAAAACCTTTTTATGGAGGTGATCTTCCAAGTAATAACATTTCCATGGTGTAGAGACAGCAAATAGTTTGTGCTGTCCTTACCTATGCTTTCCTAAATTGTTAGGAACAGGAAAGTTCTCAGATTTCACTTCTTGCTTGTTGGTACCCTTGTCCTCTCCATCCTCTGCTTCAGCTGCTCCTGGAGGTAAGAATTCAAGGAGTCTGTGTTCCTCAGAGGGCACTGGGGAGCACAGACATGACCTGGCCCCATCTTCCTCCCTTCAGTCCTTCCTCTGCTGTGCTGGGATTTTTAAGTGAGGCCAGAGCAGTAGCAATGGGGTGTATAGAGATGTCCTGGCAAGAGGTGAAAGCAGTGCTACTGTGCCCTTGCATGCATGCAAACTGCCTGCACTAATTTATTTCAACTCTGTTCTGCAGTTGGCTGGTGGAAAGGATGGCCAGAAACTTCTCCTGTTACTATTCCTGTGCCCTGTGAGCTTGGAGAATGCAGAAAAGGCCCCAAAGGCTGCTTCTGTGAGATTCCTCCTCTAAGGAGGGTTAATTTGCAGGGCATATTTTCCCCACTTCAAGCCCATGTGGACCTAGATGTGGTTTCAACAGAAACAACTGCCATGATTCAGGTTCTGGCTGCAGCACAGAAGTGAGCAGGTTATGTGGAAACTCTCCAGGGACACCAGAGCACTCTAGTGGTGGTGAGGAACCAGGGAAAGACCTGGCTTGGAGCAGATGTGTGTAGCTCTTTGTAAGGTACCTATATCTGCCAGGGGATTTTTTCCACAATTAAATTAACTTTACAATGTGCTGTTTCTCATCCCAAAGTAACATGGTGTGCATGTGGTGGGGGGAGTGGCTGTGGGGTTACCAGAATGGTGAAAGACCCCCCAAAACAGGGATGCTGCAGCCCAGGTGCTCTGGGTGTGTATCTTGGGCAATGCCAAGAGGGAATGAAGGCTCATTTCTCCCCTCAGCAGCAAGCACAGGGTGTTGTGGCTGATTTCATTGCTCACTTCAGAAGAAAACGTGGCATCTGTGAAGCGCTTCAGCTCATCTCTTGCTAAAATGAAAAGCTCCTGCAGGTGAATTTGCTGTGGAGAAACCACTGTGCATGGTGGTGAAGTTATGCTGCAACCTTTGCAAAGCCAGCCTGCTTCCAGTTCTCCTGGGTGTCTCTGCATGTCGCTGGGACCTCCGTTCTCCTAGGGATGTGAAGAGTGCTCCTGGGGACTCCTCCTGCTTGTCTGAGTAAAGGACAGCAGGCTGTGCCTCTCTATAACAGTTACTGGTCTGGTCTTATTCAGTAGCTGGCTGCTCCCTGGCTTTCTTACATTCATTTTTCACAACATCAAACTCATATTTTTTTGCAGCATTGGCATCTCTGAGACTCATTATAAGACTTTAGCTTTATCTTCTCCTGGGACTGTTGCACTTTGAGTGTAACAAGGACAAACTGAGGCATTGAGAGTGTCTTGCTGCAGGACTGGTAGAGAAAAGCAATGCTTTCCTGGTCCCTGTATCTCTTGGCTGCCTGTGTTCCCTGTTCGGCCATGCTATCCCAAATTACCATCCCCTCAGCAGGTCAATGGTGCTTAAAGAGAGGGGCTTGAACCGCCATGTGGGCTCTCAGTGCTTTGACCTTGAGGCACACCTCAAGGTGTTGCTTCTTCCAATTTCTTCTTTCCCTGTCCTGTATGTTTAGATTATGCAGAAAGGGAATGTCCTTTTATATAGCATCCACTCTTAAATGAATCTTTGGGAGCTACGGTAATACTGAAATGGGCTGCTTGTCTGTCCGTAGCAGGCTTCAGGGCTGCTTTTTTTCCAACAAGCTTTAACAGATGATTCTACATGAGTATATGCGAGATGGGATTTAAAAACATGGCCCATGGCCATTGCAATGCCTATTTCCTGCAAGCCATAAAACAGCATTATTTAAACTTGGGGAAAACTTAGCTGATGGAAAACTCAAGTCTGTTTTGAATGTTGTGTCTTTATATAGCACTTGTTCTGCCTCAAGACTGGGGGTTAGACTTCATTTGGTTCTCTTTCCAGGCATAAAATAATTATAGGCTCATTTTTATGACCATCCTTATGTACATGAGCTGGCTAATTAACAGATCTGCGCAACCCTTGCTTGCAGCTCTGCACTGGGCCTCCAGTGAGGTGGTGAACACGAGGGTCTAAAGTTTCCAAATTACTTTCTTCCTTAAAATGTGTCTGCAATTTCTGCTCTTTGAAGGAAAGGTCAGACTCCGAGACACCTGGGCCTGAATGTCAGAGCTTCCCCTGCTGCCACCACCACCTTAGGGAAGGAAAATAAACAAGCTCTTTGAGCTTGGGGTGGCTATAAATAATGAGGCGGCAGCTGATATGCTACTGAACAAGGCTCTGAGGTTGGTCTATTGGTTATTCTTGCCAGCTCAACACACTTTTGCTAATGCTGTGTGATATATATATTTTAAAGCAGGTAAAGAATGGATCTGACAGTGACCAGAAGTGCAACTGGAGCTAGCATTTGCTTCAGAAATAACGGACCTGTTATAAGGATCCTGATAATGATAACGAGACAGACCACAAATGATTTCCCTGTGATTTTGCATTGGGTCCCCTGAGGGTTTTGGTTGCAGTGGAATAATTTGATTTAGATCATAAATTTCAGAAAGGTGCTTAATCTCTTCACAATAACTCTAAGTAATAGTGGTTTAGCAATGCTAAAGACATGCACTCTTCATTCTTCAAATAAATAGAAAAAAGCATCATGGGCTTGGGGCTTTTCAGGGTGATGGGAAGAACAGGGGGGGAGGTGGAAGCAAAGCAAGGGGAAAATATCATTGGAATTTATATGAGCAAGCATTTCAAAGCATGAAAGCAGCAAGGTGTTTGGTTGGCTAGGTAGTCCTTCCCTGAGGTTGTAGAGAGGCTGTGGGTGGCTGCTGTGAGCAGCTCGGCTGGTCTCCTGCCTTGCTCACCTCCTCTGGGGACAGCCCAAAACAACAGCTCCAGGCACTGGTCCTGGCTCCCATCCTGCTGCTCAGACTTTGTCCTCACTGTCTCATCCATTTAGGTGTAAATAGCCCGAGGATGAGCCCCTGGCTATGTCTCGAGTTGTCCAGCCTGATCCCTTATCTTCAGAGAGACATCTAGCCTAGATCTAGGGTGTCCAAGGAGGATCTCCCGAATCCCACAGGGATTGCGTCTTAGATGTCTAAAGCAGATGGAGCAAGCACATCTCCTAAAGCAAACAGCTGAGTGATGGAGCAACAGTCTACCACAAAAATCAGGAATCAATATTAACTGAAGAAAGATGAAATTCAGTACTTACTGATGTGTGATTTGTTTCCATCTGCAATCACTTGCATGTTGGATACATCATGTTACTCGGTTTGGTTTACAAAATTAACAGGTCATCGTTCCTTTGAGATCATTTTGGGTTCTGTTTTCTTGCAATTTTGAGAGCCCTGTAGGTAAGTTCAAAACATCAGATGGAAAAGAGTATTTACAGTAGCTAATAAGTACAAGAGGTTTCTCAAAAAATAAATAAAGTGACTCCTTTTTGAAAGCGTGAAAATTTCCATCAACTAAAATTAGCATGAAGAAGGGCTATCGAGTAACACTATTGCATGCTCCCAGCTTTGGCCCTGCAAAGTTTAGCATCTAAAGTGCTGGAGAGGTGAAGGGCAGATGATGGTGATGTTGCCAGAACAGATATTCTAGCAGAGTAGTTCCAGGCAATGAAACCAGTTGGAGGCTTTTCAAGTTTGCCAGTCAGATTTACTGTTTTGCAAAAGTCAGGGTTGCAAAATGCAAATTTGGAGCTGTGCTTTGATTGTTACCGTCCCCAGAGAAGAAGAGTGCAAATTCTGGCTCTGTCTCTGCTTGTTCCTGGTGAGGGATGTGCTGTATGCAGAGTGTGCAAGGGCAGAAAATGCTGCGCTGGGAGCAGAGGGGGTTTGGAGTTGATTGGTTTGTTGAATTTTGGTTAGGGGTTTGCGTGAAGTTTGACTCAAAGATAGGGGACTTTTGAGACTGCTAAAGAGAGCTGGTAAGGATGGCACCAATACCCGCCTTTGCCCTGGCCGAACGTGTGAGCTGCCCTAACGCCATGCAGTTATTTACCACCTCTTGGCCCCTGGGCATTTCATCCCCTTTTCCAGCTGTCATCCCAGTTTGGGCTTTGCTTTTTCACAGCCTTTCAGGAGCCTTTTAGTGTGGGTGCCAAGACAGCTGGTAGGTTAAATGTGCTTACAGGGAGATGGGGGTATGCAAGAGCAGTTTCTCTGGAGGTCTCCAAAGCAGCTTTACACCCGAGTTAAGCTTGGTCTGTTCCATCTGGCTTTTGGAATGCTGGTGAGCTATGCCAGAAAACCAACTCTGAAGGCAAAGTCTTGCTTCTTCTCCAATACCACCCTGCTAAGCCTTGTTGCTCATTGACCCTGTGCGGTAATGTATCTCTAATCTGACTTTGAGTCACTCTGTCATGGATCAAGATAGCAAAGCATTTCCCACATCCATTAGAGTTGTGGCCAGTTCTCATGGAAGGGATGCAGATGCATCTTTGGGTTGGTGTCGGAGGTGAGCTCTCCATTTGCTTTCTCCCTTTCTGTCTCCCTGATGACTGATGAGATCACACTTGGCTCTGCAGGACACACTGCTCCTTAGAGCAGCGCTGACCTGTGGAAGGATTGGAGGATAGGTGCTCAATCCTTCATGCAAATACCCTAATGCAATTAATTCCTCTTTGACTGATGACTTTAACAACTCAAAACTTCCATTGTCTTTTAGGCATGCTAGTGACTTTGTGTGTCTCTAACACTGAATATGTTGCTGGGAAAAAAACAGACAATAGCAACCAGAGCCAACCCAACTGGAAACTTAGAAAAAAAAGCCATTATGAATAAGAAAATTTCAACAGAATTTAAAAATGCCCAAGGACATGTTGTACCCTGCTCTACAACTGTCACCACTGAAACCACACCAGCCTAATGAGTGTATTTGCAGCATGCACTGTATGAATGACGCACAAGGCTGGCTTATGTTTGCATCCGATGCTGAAGTAGGAGGTGTTCAGATCCCTCCCTGTTTCTTACGCAAACATGTAGAGTTTCTGCTCTTACAGGCTAAGAGGAGATAAGACAGGGGCAGATTCTCCTACTGACTGAATTTCACAGAAGAGATGACACACTAGAGTCCTCCACAGGGGTGTTGATTGACTCCTTCCCTCCAGGTGCAAGGAGAAGAGCAGTATCAGGAAGGTGGATGGAGGTGTACATAGATAATAAGGTAGTTAGATAATTTGGTAATTAGGTAATAAGTGAAGGCTTGTTTGTTGCCCTTTATTCTCCTTTTCATGCCCCTGAACCTCTGAGATGTCATGGAGCCCCATCAGGAGAAGGTGTCGGCACCCTGAGGTTCCCCAGCCACCCTCCAGGACTCAGGTAGGTGAGCCCACAACCTGGCAAATACTTGCTCTCCCCTGTATCTGAGCGGCTGCTGCAAGAGGTGCATTGCTGTGCATGGCAAGCACTGCACCAGGTCTCTTCTAGCTGGGAGAGGGGGAGACAGGCTAAGGACCGAGATCCTGAGCCCAAATGCCAAGCGGGGATATTAGAGGAGCCAGGGAGGAAGCCCAGTCTTTGCTCGGCCCATTTGAGTTGTGTTTCAGATTCTTCAGGATCCCGTCATCGCCAGTAAAATGGCAGCAGTACGCTGATACTTAAATAGAGGAGCTGATTTTAAAGTTTAAGGCTATTCTGATCTCTGCTTGACCGGCTGTGTAAAACGGGTCATTGGATTTTAACCAGGAACAGAAAATAATTAATTATATATATATTCTGTCCTTTCTCTGAGCGTACTTCCTTAGTCACTATCTGATCAGCCTTTTTATTGGCAACTGCTTCAATTAAATTGGAAAGAGTGTTTTGGTGAATGTAGGGCATCTACTGTAACCTTGAACTGCTGTTTAAACCCTATCGCAGAAACCCTTTCTCTAGAGTGGGATAAAGAGAAGAAAGGAGGGGGGAAACTGGATAAGAATTTAGTTTTCCTTCCCAAATGGCTTTTGTGATTCCCATTTCCCGCCTGCCCTAAATCATGGTAAAAGGTTTATAATTGAAAGTGTCACAAAACAGAAAAACACATCCCCACCCTTCCCCAGTCAGCTTAATCAATACGTTTCCATGGATAACTTCAAGTGTTTCAGTGCTGATGTCTGTATAAGTGGACAAACACACCAAAACCAGAATAGCTGTATCATGCAAAAAAGTCAAAAGATGTTGTTTTGAAAGCATTCAAATATGACTTCAGAGAGGGGGAAAAAAAAAACCATTCAGACTGTGAATGATGGAACAACTCAAGTAAAACACATTTTCCTGGCAAACAATTTCACTTTGGATAACTTAACCATTTTCGGATGAAAGAAGGTGTCAGTGGAAGTTCCTCTGTAGCTCTAGCACGAAGGTGTAAGTGCAGAGTCATGGGCAAATTTGGGTGAGGAAGGACCTCAGGAGGTCCTCTGGCCCAACTTGTGTGCCAAAGCAGGATCCGCTTCGGTTTTAGATCACTTTGCTCAGTGTTGGGCAGTAGTTGGTGAATAAGGGATAGGTATCGTTTCTTTTCAGGAGTTAGATCTTTCCTGGGTTGTGAAAGAACACCTGTTTTATGGGAAGGATGTAGCTGATTTTATTTGCAAACTCTATAGTCTTTAATGAACGTGAAGCCGCAGGTAGGATTTCAGACTTCCAGGGCTGTAGAGGTTTTTAGATACATTTTTACAGTGCTTTTTCAGCTTGCTGTCTGGGCACCATCCAGCCGTAGGAGGCAGTGATCCATGGAAATGCTGCCCACTGACTGGTGTGCAATGAGCACAGGGGGTAAGGGTATAAAAAACCAGAGACACAAGTATTTGGCCAAAGTGCCCATCTTTACGCAATTTGTAAAATTATTGGGGCTAATGTGTGAACACTGTATTTAAAGTCATCTCCTGCCAAGTGCACTGGCTGCTGCAATAGGTCAGCCAACAGCCAGAAAAGATGAGAAGGGCTGATTACAGCTCCCCTGCAAGTTGCCCTGCTATGCCGTATATTCCTGTGGCCCATCTCAAATAACCAGTCTGGGTGCTCCTACCTACCAAAAAGAAATGCAATACTGGGGTAGGTTACCTAGTGGAAACTTCTCTAGATCTCTGCCCCAGCCTCTAGTTCCTATTCAAAGAGGAACACTGGTTTGCCGTATCCTCTTCCAGGTGAAGATGCTGTCACTTCAAAAGCATGCCAGGCTCTGGTCAGCAGGTGGAGGGACTTTATGCAGTTTAAGACCCTGGTTCACGTCTGTGACCTGCATGCATGCTCTTTTTGGCCTTGGGGCTGTCTTCTAACCTGGCAGCTGGTGAGAGAAGCTTTTCCAAAGACAGGTGCTCGCTGCACCCTCGCCTAACAAAATCTGATAGCTTTCGGAAGAAATGCAGCCACAGCCGGGATCATCTCTCTCTCATCTGGTCCATGCGATCAGTAGAGAGCACGAGGTAGTTGTTGGTGGTTTGCTAGCTCTCTAGGCTGGCATGGCTGCGCTGCAGCAGCTCAAAGGCAAGTCCAAGTACACTTTGCTGCTGATGCAGGGAGAAGAGATGATGTCAAGACAGCACAAAATATATATCCTACAGCAGGACAATCTACAGTAAAGAGAGGCAAGCCTAATGATGAAAATGTCGCAGGCTGTGAATGAAACTGGTGTGTGATGGCATCAAGAGGTGAAATAAGGACTAGATGTAGGGTACGTATGAAAAGCACAGGGTATGCGGCGAAGGCATGAAACAAGTATTTGACAGGATTATAGTTACGTGCCGAAGCGGATAGAGAGACCCACAAAGGGAAGAAAGGGCAAACATAAAATGGGCTATGGGGAATGAGCCTTGCTCGTGAACCAGATGATAGCAGAGCAAACGGAGGATGTGTGCATCAGATAAGCCCTCTTCCAGAGGGATAGAGCAGATCCCCTCGGTCCTGTGGGAAGAGGGAACCAGATCACGCTGGGACTGGAGACAAGATGCGCGACATGGACACAGGCGCTCTGACAGAGGCAGCCCGTAGGATGCACAGACATCCTTTGGGACAGTACTAAGCAGATGGGCCATGCTCACAGGAAGTGGTGACGGGGAAGACAGAGCATGGACATGATGCATAATGTAAAGACAGACATTGTCTGGAGCAGTTGCCCAACGTGTCCAGATCAGGAACTGAGCTGAGCACAGATGCGTGTGTACAGGAACTAAGGGGATGCTGCAGGGAGCAATGTTTGCATCTCACCTATTTGAAAATAGAGCTGCAGCAAACATCTGGTTACCTGTCCCTCCCGTAGCCTCATCAAAGTCACATTTTTCAAGATGCTTAGAGGGGAATTTGAGTGATGTGGAGCGCTTCCCTGCTGCTGGTGCACAAGCAGCATGGCTCTGGCAGAGGCTGTGCAATCCCGCAAGATGCTCATATTGCTCCTGCCAACCGACTGGCAGCAAACGGGTCAGACAGGACCACGGGGGCGTTCAGCCTTGCATCCGCTGAGAACCGCCCTTGTGTAAGCCCAGGCTTCACACGCACTTGCACACACACATTTCCTTTCTAACTGATTGATCCAATCCTCGGTGTGGGAGACCTGAGTCGCGATGTCCCATCAGCAGTGGGGACAGTCTATAACGGGCAAGCAGGTGAAGGAGGCTGGTGAATACCATTGTCAAACTGGGTCCACAGCAAACATAAAGGGAGAAACAGCTGGGTGACTCCCCTCCCACACATCCCTGCTCTGCTGCCAGTTTGGACAAATAAATACAGTATTTCTTGGAGATGTGCTCAGCTGGTGCAGCGCCCGAGGAAAATGAGCCAGTGGAAGACAACAAAAATGCTTGATGGTGCTGAAAATGCAGCATGAAGGCTGGTTTGCTGCGTTAGTGCTTTCAGCGGAGCTGGGCTGGGGGAGTGGAGGCCACAATACCTGGTCCAGCTGCGCGTCCCCATGCAGGTGCCACTCTCCTTGGCAGCACGGGGTGCCCACCCTGGCTCCCCCACCCAGCAAACTCCTCCTGGCTGAAGCCAGGGCACTGAGGATGGATGCACTGTCCCCCTCCCACCTAACAAGTTACAAAAGCATTGGCTCAAGCTGGGTTGCGGGAGGGAGGCGAGGGGATAAGCTGTCAGACAGCTGGAGAATACAAGCTGGAGAAGGGATTTTGGCTCGTGCATGTTACCTGGTAAATGGGAGGCTGCAGCGTTGTGCTCCTGCTCCACGGCTTTAAAAGCTTGTCTCTACATCTTCAGCTGGGGACCCTTTCCTGCAAGTAGCAGGGAAAGAGTGGGCAGGAATTGATCTGTGACCCAAGCCAAAAATATCGCCTACTCTGCAGCTCCTAAAGGTTTTCTCTGCTCCTACAGGCTGGGAGAAAGGGGGTGCTGGAGCTGCCAGGCACACTGGAGGGCATGCCCTGCACTGCCGGGGAGCCCTGCCAAGGGGAGAGGGGCGGGAGAGAGAGGATGGGGAGCTGAAGCCTGCGAGGTTTAGTGAAATGGAAACCGTGAGCCAGAGGGTTGTCCGAGGCACTGCAATCCTCTGCTGGCATAGCCGTGCAACTGCGGAGGGTGCTCGGGCGGCAAAACCCTTTTGGGCAGCTGGAGGATCCTAGATGGGGTCCAGCCACCTGGGGCTTGCCCTCTCTAAGATGTCCTTACTTAAATAATGCTTTTGTATTGTGCTAAGAAGGGCTCTGAGTGTGGCTTGAGGTCAGACAAGCTCTCTTGCTGTGTTCCTGCTCTCTTGCTTTTTGTTCCAGGTCTCCTCAAGCTCTGGTGTATGGCAGAGCCCTGGTAGTCTTAGTGAGAGGTGGGTGCGTGCCACACACCACCCACGCACAAGCACACATGTGATACATGTGCTACGTATGTCTGACTTCTCACGCACCCCGTGACTGCTCATTTCAAAGAGCATTGGACGGCAGAAGGTCCCCAAGCCCTCCGCAGGCTCTAACCCTACAGCGCAACCAAAGCCATTTACATGTAGAGGGGCAGCAGGGAAGAGCTCCTGCCCGGCCAGGAGAGCAGAAGCTGCTGCTCTGTGTTGAGATTGCAACAGCCAGGGTGCTACGACCAGGTTTTAAGCAGCGACCATGCACCACGGAGCTGCGGGGGCCCCGCAATTTGTTTCCGAGGTGCCTTTGCCTCAGATACCCCTCTTTAAGCTCTGCCTGCCTGGTGGGGTTGTAAATATAGAAACATAAGCCCTGGAGGTTTTTTTTTCCTCCAAACATGTCCCTCCCATCTTAGCATCATCTGTGCAATTCCTCCAGCTGCTCCTATACATGGTATGACCTTTTTTTCCCCCTTCCCTTGCACCCCCCTCCATCCCCCCCTGCCTTATCCCTGCTCCCTTCCCTGCCCAGTGCAGGGGGTCTGGGGCCAATCGGCTCCTCCAGACGATCAAATGTCACTATAAGTTGAGAGCTGCATCACCTTGGGACGCTCGCAGATCCCAGCCTGCCCGTCCCCTTCAGCAGGGAGCTTGGTGCTTCTCTCCGCTCCTCCCAGGTAAGCGGGAGCCCTGGCGAGGGAGGCTGACAGGGGGTAAAACCAGAGATGGAAAAGCATCAGGGGAGGGTTGGGGTCCACAGGATCCAGGATCCAGCACAGGATCCTAAGGAAAAGGCACTTTTCCTTCCTGGCTTTTGTTGAGCATCGCGTAAGGCTCGTGTCACTTGCAGAGATTCGGGTGCTCTGAACTCTCAAGTATCAGTGGTGGGAGAAAAGATCCTTCCAAAACCAAGGCCTGGGGCTGGGAGTGAAGTGACATCTCTTGAGGCATTTGGGAAAACTCGATCCAGCAGCAGGAGGGAAGTGCTGACCTTCCCTCCTCTGTCACCCGGAGAAAGGGACGGCCGAGGCAGGAGGGATGCAGGGCAGGACCATTGGGGAGCTGCCGGCAGGTGAGGAGGGCTGCAGTGTGTGGAGCTAGAGGGAGACCTGAGAAACACAAATGTGATCATGGAAAACTGCCCCCTCCCACGGAAAAGAAGAAAATTGGGAGAGAATCCCCCTGTGTGCACGGAGGGGCAGGAGGAGGGGGTTAAATTCAGAGCGGTAATGGGATGCTCCCTGTATGCACAGCTTCAAACACCTGCACTTTGCTGGCCTGACCACTTAGTGCAGGTGAATCTCCCCTGTGTGGGGGGCATATCCCCCACCAGCCTGCAGCTGCCCCATGGGGCAGAGCTCCTCGCTGCTGGGGTGGGGGGCAGTATCCTGCAAATGCAGAAGTGTCACCAGCACAGGTGGCTTTGATGCCAGCGATTTGGGTGGGAGCCGTGCCACTGGTGTGGGGGAGCTCCAGCGAGGCCATCAGCAATTGCCGGGGCAAGTAGACGTCCCTCGTGGGCGCAAGACCAGGGGAAAGGCAGGGGCTATAAGCTAAACATGGTCGTTGTCTTTTAGTCCTCTGTCTCAGCCTTGTTCCTAGCAAACTCCATGAAGGGATCTGATGGATCATATCACCCCAAAGACAAGGATAAAGGGTGCATTTTGGGGCAGGGAATCAGGATTTTGCTTTGTGCTGGTGGAGCCTGCAGCAGCACTTGGGTCCTGCTACCCTGTTTCAGCAGCAGCGCTGTGGTGGGCACTTTGCTCTCCATTCCCCTTTGAGAGAAACACTTTCTGCTGGAAACTACCGAGCGGTTCAGAAACAAAGGGAGGAGGCAGAGGGATGGAAGAAATATATATTAAAAAAAGTATATGCATATAATTTTAAGATAGAAAAGTATATGTGTATATTTATATATTTAATAGATATATTTATATATATATATTTAATATATATATGTATATAAAAAAATAGATGCAGTGGGTTTGCAGCGGCTCCTGCTGGGAAAGTGTGGCCATGTGGTGCTTGGTGGATTGTACCCCTAGTCCTCGCCTGATAGCTGTCCTGCCAGGTCCTGTCTCCCATGGATGGCCACTTTTGTCCCCCCCCTTTCTGTACCGCTCTTGCTACCTTGCCTCCCTTGTATGGCCTGGCTTGGGAGGGGATGATTGATGGGCAGGTTATTTCCAGGGACGGCCCGGAGGTGCAAGGCAGCCCATTCCCCCTCCTGGGTGCATTCTCAGCTGCTAAGAGGCTTCTTGGGATGTGCTGGCTCTGCTCTTTCAGCCAAGGGCAGGAGCATTTGGGGCCAAAAGGGACACGGCGTTCCTGCCCACCTGGGGCTGATGAGGATTGGGGTATTTGTCCTTCCAGCCGTGACCCGCTTAGCTTGAACAAAATGCAGAAAATAACCTTTGCTTTCACCTTTAAGGGGTGGGAGCAGGCAGGAAGTTTTTGGTCTGGTGAAACTTTCCCATGTGTTTTGATTTCCTTCCAAATGGTGGGCAGTATTAACTAACTGATTTTATTACATCCTTAAACCTCAGTCAAGACCAGACCCCATTTTTCTGCCACTGTACAAACAAAACCCAGTTATTGCCTTAAGGTGCTGACAGCCTTAATCTTAGGCTGCATTTGCTGTGTGTAAAGTAATTTCCACCGAAGGGTAATCCCGAGCCAGCTGGAGACTTTCCATTGCCTTCAGAGAACTTAATCCTAACGGCAAAAAATACTACTCTTAGCGGATTGCTTTCTTTATGGCCTTTTGGATGTAAATACGGTTTGGTTTTGTTGGCTGCTTTGATGACAGAGTTAGCTACGTGGACAGTGCTGGGTATCAAAGAGACTTTCTTATCTTGGGTGGCTGTTGCTATGATGGTCTGCATTTTGCCCCTGGTTTCAAGGGACCAGATGGCTTTTGAATGCCACGAAGTGGACAGACAACTTGTTCTTCTTGAGGCGAGACCTTTTTGCCTTTCCAGCCAGGGCAGTGGCAGTCAGCTACAGCGTAAAATGCCAGCTCCTCCCGACAAAGCGACCAAACTTGGCTGAACGTTTGGCCCTTGCAAGGCTGAAATCTGCACCTCCCCTTGGATTTTTTGTCCCCCCTGCCTTAGCCTGTGGGGTTTCTGCATCTGGCTCATCTCTGCACAGAGTCTGCCAATGCACTTGTTATTAATTAATTTTATCCGGGGCCCAGAAACCCCCCAGGGTTGGGGTCTTACAGTGTCAGGGATGCTGGCATTCTCGCTTGGCTTTTATAGCACGCGGACAGATGCCATGCAAAATCCCATTTGCATTTGCAGCACTTGGATTAACAAATATGGAAGGGTGTAGGGGAACAGCCAATGTGACAACCCTCGGCAAGATGTCCTTAGAGCTAAATTGGAGACTAGATGAGCTCATTCCAATAACTGTTAATGGAAAGCCTGATTGCAAAGACTCCCATTGACTTCAATTGCCTTGGAAAGAACAGCATGTGCTGCATTACGTGCCTATCCTACACCGAACAGACATTTGCTCTCTGTATGCATACGCAGGGCTCTTGAGCTGATTTCTTCTCCAGCATTGAGCAGTATTACTCTTCTTGCCACTGGAGTGAGAGGGAAGAGGAGTTTAGCCCAAAGCACTTTAAAAGTCCTCTTTTTTTTCCTCCACCTTGGGAAGAAGGAAATCTGGGTTTCTAAATTAAAGACAGAATCCGTGGGAGGATTGGCCATTACTCTGAGTCTTTAGAGATCATGCATTTTGGAAGAAGCCAACAGCTGGGCATCTGGCAGGTTCCCTCTACGGGCTTTTGCCAGGAGAATCTCTGCTGTCCCGCTGCATAAACCAACATGCTGTCAAGCGTTATTACTAATAGCTTGAATAATTTTTGGAGGCTGAAATGAGATTGCAAACCTATTATACTGCTAGCCACTGTGCAGATAGAAAGTGGAAGTCTTTATGCTGAAGATTTGATCATCTAGATAAAAAAGACTGGGGAGAGAGACCAGAGGTGATGTAGCATCCAAATAAGTAACAGAAGAAGCAGCAGGAATCAATGCAGCAGAAAAGCCTTTTGAAGAGCTGAAATTCCTCCCAAACACAAAATTCCTCCCAGATTCCTCCTGCCTAGTGGGGTTAGAGTCCCCAAAGTACTCCTTGTACTCCCTGGCTGTTGCACTTGAGGAGTGGGCAATCACAGCTACCAAGTTAAAAGCAGCCTGGGACCAAGAGATCACTGAACCCAAATCTCATGTGTCCTAGCAGTAGATCATCCTCCTGTCCAGCTGCTCAGATTGGGTCATAACACAGCCATTGCTGGCACTACTTCCAGGGCAATGCTGAATTTCAGAAAGAGGATAAATCAGCAACTAGAAGAAAAAACGCTGGCTGTTTATCGCTACTTAGAACATGGTGGGGTTTAAATCCTGTTGGTGTTAATGTGTGGTGCCCAGGGTCATTGCTGGGGAATGGAAAGGATCCCTTATAGGGCAAGGTTGGAGCCTATGGGATTACTGCCTTCCTCTGAAATAGAAAGCTGCTGAGCTGCAGTTGTTCCTTTT